GCACTGCGGAGGTAGTGGGCGACGGACACCGCCTTCCCAAGGGGCAGCCCACGCGTCCCTCGGGTTCCCGCACCTCCACTGATAATCCCATCCCAGCCTGGGCGTGAGCGTCCCTCTGGGCGTCTTCCTGCGGCGGGGGTGGTCTCCCTTCGTTCCCGAGGCTGCAGGATGGTGTCCTGGATGATCTGTCGCCTGGTGGTGTGAGTATGGCCGCTCTCATACCCCCTCTGTCCCGGAGGGCCAGACTCTCCCTGGGGTGGAAGCTGGGAATGTCTGGTGGGAAAGGGGGCTTTCTGATCTCCGTCACACCTTTCCCCTCCCCCAACACTCACCGCAAGGATTAACGGACCTGCGGTCCTGCGCAGGGTACCGGGCACCGCGTGCATTCCCCCTACCCTCAAGCCTGCTTGGCTGGTGGCGACCCCTGCAGTCACACACATTGCAGACAGGTGTGTTCGCCAGAGGACCACAGGCTGGCCAGCAGCCCCTTGGCAAATACAAGCTGTTGTGACACGTTGTGGGTGGAGAATCCAGGTGCCTGCTTCCCAGCTGAGCAGTCAGTCACGTGACCCACCACCCCGGCCTCAGCCTCCCCACTCTGTCCTACTCGTCACCTTTCGGTACTCCAGCACCTGGCTTGAATATCCCTGTCTGCAGCCTGGCAGTGCCGGGTCTGGTGGCCCTGAGCCTGGTTGCACGTCGGTGGGAGGAAACAGGCTGGTGCTCACGGCTCAGAAGCCTGCCTCCTACCCACCTGGTGGAGTGGCTGTGGGTGCTCTCGCTGCATCAGGCACCCATGGGCCACTGGCGCAGGCCTGGACAAGCTTGGGATGTTTGTAAACAGCAGGGTGGGGAGGCAGCCTCCAGGGCACTGACTCAGGCACAGGTTGTGCAAGCCAAGCAGGAAGAACAGGGCAGGCACTGCCACCTTGAACCCAGGTGGGAGGTGGCCACCTGGCAGGGGCGTGGGGAGTGGTGCCCCTCACACTCCCCCTCTGCTTTGGGGGCTGCTCTTCAGGCTGGTGTTTGGGATGCTGTACCCAGCTTATGCTTCCTACAAGGCTGTGAAGACCAAGAACATTCGTGAATATGTGAGTGTTGGGGTGGGCAGGAGGCCTCCGCTCAGGTGGGGGGGCAGCAGCCTTGGGGGGTGAGGTAGGATTTGGCCAGGTGGGGAGGATCTGAGCTGGCCTCCCCCTCCTCCAGGGGTATAATCTAGTGGCGAATCCTGGAACAGAGTGGGTGTGGATGGAGGGTGGGCTATTGGGGTGCCTTGCATGATCTTGTGGGTGAAGCCCGCTGAGGGTGGGTACAGGAATGAGTGGCAGTTACTCTCTGAGGCCAGCCAGGTGCCAGGGGAATGCAGTGGGACTGGCTCTCTGGAATCTCTGGGCTGGGTCAGCCCGGAACAGGGGGTTGGCACTGCAGGCTCAGCTGCTGGCCTCTGACCTCCCTGCGTCCTGATCCCCCAGGTCCGGTGGATGATGTACTGGATCGTCTTTGCACTCTTTATGGCACTGGAGACCTTCACAGACATCTTTATTTCCTGGTACGGGGGCAGGGGTTCTCTGGGCTGCAGGGAGGGGCTGGCCCTCCCCCGCCCGGCTCCCTGGCAAACCTCGCCCCCTCTGTTCTGCCAGGTTCCCTTTCTACTACGAGATCAAGATGGCCTTCGTGCTGTGGCTGCTTTCGCCCTACACCAAGGGGGCCAGCCTGCTTTACCGCAAGTTTGTCCACCCGTCCTTGTCTCGCCATGAGAAGGTACCCCGGCGCGTGGCAGAGCGGGAAGCATAGGGGTGGGTGAGAGGAAGCAGCCCTGGACTCAGGGTTCAGGACACTGGGGACACCTGGGCTCTCATCCCAGTCCTGCTGCTGTTTAGCGATGGGACCTTGACAGAGCCTAACCCTCCTCCTCTTCTGGGACAATCAGATGAGGGACACATGTGAATGATGTTTTGATGGTGGGGGAAGGCTGGAGCATGGCTGTTCATTGAGGTGTGAAAGCCAGTGAGGGGGTGGGGAGCCCTGTGCTTGTGTGGTTGCCAGGAAACTGTGCAGTGTTGGGGACAGGAGGCGTGGCACCCAGTGGTTTCTCTGGGTCCTCAGGGGAGTGACTTGGGCTGTCCACCTGAGCTTTCCTCCTCCCCGTGTCCGCAGGAGATCGACACCTACATCGTGCAGGCCAAGGAGCGCAGCTACGAGACGGTGCTCAGCTTTGGGAAGCGGGGCCTCAACATTGCCGCTTCGGCCGCTGTGCAGGCTGCCACCAAGGTGCCCTGGGCCCAGCCCTCCAGCAGCCCTGCCCCCACCCCCTGGGCCTTTTGGGTCCAGCTCTCTGTCAGGGAGACTAGAGATAGCAGCTGTCCATGCCGGGGAACAGGGGTGAGAGGTGACAGGTGGGGTGCTGGCAGGAGCACGGAGCTGGAAGTTCAGACTTCCCTGGCTCTGACACTGACCGTGAGCTGCTGCTCCTGCTCTCTGGGCCCTCGTTGGCATGGGGAGCTAGAAGGTTGTTTTCAGTACTGAGGCCTGTGCCCCAGGGACAGCCTGCAGGTCAGCCTCGATTCCCCGGGCCGCTGCCCTGGCTGAGGCCCCTCCCTCCAGGTGGTACAGCGGCTCCCCCTCCCTTGCAGAGTCAGGGTGCGCTGGCTGGAAGGCTGCGGAGCTTCTCCATGCAGGACCTGCGCTCCATCCCCGATGCCCCTGCCCCTACCTACCAGGATCCCCTCTACCTGGAGGACCAGGTACCCCGTCGCAGGCCACCCATCGGTGAGTCGGCAGAGGGACCCAGAGCTCTCTGGAGAGGGGTGGCTTCCTCCCTGAGAACTGTGACTTCCTCCAGGGCTAGAGGAAGGGCTGGCTCAACCCCAGGCCTTCAGACTGTGTCAATGTCCAGCTTTTCCTCCTGGCCTCCTCTCCTCCTACAGGGTACCGGGCAGGGGGCCTGCGGGACAGCGACACTGAGGATGAGTGTTGGTCAGATACAGAAGCAGTCCCCCAGCCGCCAGCCCGGCCCCGAGAGAAGCCTCTGAGCCGCAGCCAGAGCCTGCGTGTGTTCAAGAGGAAGCCTCTGGTGCGGGAGGTCAGTGGCGAGGAGGACCCAGGGAGGTGGGCTGCCTCGGCTGTCCCTTCAGCCCGCACCTCTCACAGTGTACCTGCTCTCTCTCCCCACCAGGGCACCTCACGCTCCCTGAAGGTTCGGACAAGGAAAAAGACCGCGCCCTCAGATGTGGACAGCTAGGGTCTGGGAGCCTGGCCCGGTCTTACCTCGTGCCCTGCAGGGCGTTGGGGACTGTTTGGAGGAGACCCCTGGCGGCACGCCTGTCCTGGCTGCACCGGCTGCCCGGGTGTGGCCTTCCTGGCTCTTGGCTGTCGGTGACGGGCCCAGGGGCAGGTGCTGCTGGGGCCCTGTGCGGGCTGCACCCGTGATGTACCAAAGAAGGCTGGGCCCAGGGTTCTATTTATTACCTTCCTCGCCCCTCTCCCTTCCCAGGTGTGGGACCAGAGCCCTCCCCAGACCCCTGAAAAATGAAACCAAAAGCCCACCCAGCTGTGTTCATTCCTTCCTGTTCTTCAAAGTACTTGACAGCCTTCTCCAAGGCCATGTGTGTGTCCTGTTGTATGGTTTGTGTTGGTGAATGAGGTCAGGTTTGTGGAAGTTTTGATAAATAAATGCATAAAAGTGTTCTGTTTCTCCTGGCTTGTGGTTCCATGGCTCACAGCACACATTATTAACCAGCCTGCCATAGGCCAGTCTGGGCCTAAGAACAGTGCTAAAAGGACAGACCGACTGCTAGAGGGGCCCAGTGTTCTGGGGAAGATAGCCACTGACAGGTAGCTGGGATGTGGCCAGAACTGTCATGGAAAGCTCTTTGGGGACCAGCCCTGAGAAGGGGCAGAGTCTAAGAAGACTGCAGTCAGGAGGAGGTGGGATTGGGCCTTGATGGGAAGTGGAAGTCAGTGAGAACAGAGGGGTGGAGGGGCCTCAGGCAGCACGATAATCCCATGGGGATTAGCTGGAGCTGTGCACAGATTAGGGCTTCCTCCAAGGGCCTGCCCGGTCTCTGGGCAGCTCCGAGGACACCGAGTTCAGCAAACCCTCAGGTTAGCAGCAGGAGCTTTGCACTTCTGCGGTGTGGCCGCGAGAGGGCAGCAGCTGCCAGGGCCTGGGCTGCCCCCAGCTTCCAGGTCAAGGAGGGCGGGGCTCAGAGGCTGTGCAGAGCCTTGCCCTGCAGGGGCCTGGCTGCTTGCTGGCTGGCTGGGAGGATGATGCAGAACTCTGGCCCGGCCTCCAATGGCCCTCCCTGCTGTTCGTGGTCATTGGTCCTCAGCCTGCACCATCCACGAATATCCCCTGTTCTCCTGAGACCCAGGCTCTTTGCTGGCTCCGCTCCATCCCCTACTAATTCCTGGGGCAGCCAGTGCCCGGCTCTGCCCTGTCCTGCCCCTCGATGCTGATCTCACCATAGTGTTCCAGGGCTGCTCCCCTCTCCCATCCCCATACCTGCTTTTCTTTGCCCTTTCGATTAAGCAAAGAGATGGGTGAGAGTGTCAGGTGGGGAGAGGGGAAATGGGGTGGCCACCCGGAGTGACCTGAGGAGTGTGGATTAACTCTTGGTGTGGGGATTATCCGGGTTTATTTGGGGGGAAGTACTTAATCTGCTGGGAGGCTTAGCTTCTCACATTTTGGTGTTCAGTGACTTCCTATCTTGGTGTTCCCTTGCAACATGGTACTACCTTATCTCTTCACTTATTCTTTCAAAAAATCTTTACTGAGCATCTCCCAGGCATGTTTCGTGATACTGGGGATGCAAAATCTAGTGACAGCCAGCACTTAGAATGTGACTGCCCCAGTAGGGGCTGCTCTGAGGCCCTGACATGTATTAATTTAATCCTCACAACAATGTCATGGGGTACATACTATTATAATCTCCATTTCACAAATGGGAAGACAGGCACGGAGAGGACAAGTAATTTGCCTGAGGTCACATAGCTTGCAAGTGGCAGAGTTGGGCTTGGAACCAGGCAGTCTGGTTCCAGAGTCTGTGTGCTTCACCACTGTGCAGAACTAGAGTAAATGAGGTGTTTCTTGCCGGGGAGGCAAAGAGAAGGAAATTAGCAGATATCAAACATTGATTGTATGCCTGACCTTGTGTTGGGCATTTTAAAGAGGTGATTTCCTTGAATTCTCCCGACAAGCCGGTCAGGTAGGAGTTACACCCATTTTACAGATGGGAAAACTGAGACTCAAGTGGGGCAACCTGTTCACGATTGTGCTGCCTGTGGGCCAGGGCCCTGTCTCCTGATGCAAGTCTCCCCAGAAAGTGCCACAGTAGGAATGGAATGGCAGGATCCACATCGCTGAAAGGAAAGAACAAAACAGGAGCCTATGATCAATGGGTAAAATGAAATAAAAACTCCAATCTGGTGCAGCTTGGGAGGCCTGAAGGTGTGGGGTGATAAGGAAGCTCTCCTGGGAGCTGGGGCCTCACCTGTGCGCATTCCTCAGATTGGGCCTTAACAGTGAGTGGCAGGGTCACTTGGCCCCTAGGGTTGAATTGGAGATGGTCCCTGATGGCCACCTTAGCCCCAGCCTCCTGGCTGGCCCGGCTGCCCCACAGTCCTGCCTTCGACCTGCTGCTCCTATCTCTGTTTCCAGAACACATGGCTTTCATTCCAGCATCAGTCCCCAGGCCCTTGCTCCACTGTACGAATCTCCTGTGCTCCCAGTGGTCTTCCTTCTAGGCCAGCATGGCCTTCCTTTATGACCTGCTTTTTCCAAGAAGCCTTCTCTGACTCACCAATGCCTCCCGAGGCTCCTAATCTCTGGCCTGCTCACCCTGTCCTGGGCACAAGATGCTGCGGGCTGTGTTCATGTGCCCGCTGCCCTCCGCTCCCTGCCCAACCAGCCTCCCCTACACCTCCCCTACCTACACCTGCATCCTTACACCCCAATTGCTCTGTCAGTCTGGACTCTTCCGTGGTTCCACACTGTTCTCCTGACATGCTCTCTCCACCTGTCCCCGCAATTCTGTCCTAGTCCTATTTGCCCTTTGAACCCCTTTGAACTTGACATCACCTCCTCCAGGAAGCCCTCTGTAAGCCCTCCCCCTGCTCTCTCAGGATTTATTGTTCATCCAGACCCTGCCATCTCTCTTCCTGCACAGACTTCCGTTTTTGCCTTGAACATGTCGTGTTTTTCCCCCTGCTGCATTATGACTTCATAATGAACAAATTTGCTCTTGTTCAATTCTGTATCCTGGACTGGAACAAATGGTGGTTTAGACACAGTGAAATATTGTCATCCATGGTGAAGGGCCACTTTTTCTCACTTCCGAACTCAAGCCTTGCCCCTTCTGTGAAGCTCCCTCGCCTTTCCCAGGGTGGGGCTGGGAGCACCTTGTCACCGTTTGTTAACATACCCAGTGCCAATCTTCCCCCCAGTTCCCAGCACGGGGCCTGACACCTAAAAGGCTTCAGTGAATGTTTGCTGGTAAAAGAACACACTCTAAGTGAGTAGAAGTTCCTTGAGGGTGGGCATGACCTTGTACTTTCATCTCTGTGCCCTGCATCTCCTTGTTGCCCATCACAGAGCCTTGAAAATGCCCAGTTTCTGTAACACACACTTGGCAAATGTCTGCTGCAGTTGTACGGGTTCCAAGACCTCCTGGGGCCAGAGGGGAAAGGGGCAAGGAGGACTCCAAGGAGGACTTCTGAGGCATTTCTGGCCAAGCACACCACGTGATCCTGAGACTGGGGCATTGGGTTCAGGCTGGGCTTCCCTCAGAGCCTGTCCTGTTCCTCTGAGAATCATTGAGACGTCTGCCCAGCACCATCTCCTTCTGCATGGGGTTCCGGGCCCAGCCCTCACCTTCTCTGGCCTGGCGCCCAAGAGGAAGTTTAGGCTGTGCTCTGGCCTGCCCACGGCCCCCCACCTTCTCCCATCCACCAGTGTGCCCACTGCTTCCCCAGGCAGGATCAGGGCTGGGCCTCCGTTCCAACTAGACTGGAACACAGATGGACCAGGCTCCATCCCGGGCACTGGTAAGGAGTTAGAGCCTAGGCCAGCGCCCTCGGAAGCACACACCTCTGCTTGGCCCGGATACCAGCCCTGCTCAGTTTGTGCTCACTCTGGCCTCCCCATCCACCTTGCCTGCTTCTGAGGGTCGCCCCCATTGCCTCGAAGTTCCCAGGTGCAGGTGGCCCTTCATTCCTGGCCCTCCCTTCTCCCTCTTCCCCACGGCCCCACCATCCCTTGGACCTTTCAGGTGGCTCCTCCTTCTCCCAGCCTCTTCAGCCTCCCCTTGCCTTGGTCCACCTTCCCTGGGTCTGGCCTCCATGTGTAGCGGCCCTCCTGCCGCATTTGTAGCTGCTGCTCTGGGTGGCAGCAGCGTAGATGGCCTTTTGTTTCAACACAGCCCCGTCCCGTGGTTGAGTTGGGGAGTCCTGGCTGGCACTGCCCCACCCTTGAGAGGGTTGAGGAGATGAGCACCAGGGCTCTGGCCCCTTATCCCCCGCCCAGCATCAGGGACTGGGATGCCCAGTAGCAGGGTAGGGGGAAGAAGCCCAGCGGGAGGATGTTGCCTTCTGCTCAGGAAATCCTGGGGGCCAGAGCTGGGTTGCTAGGTGGAAGGTCCTGAGCCTGGGGGCAGAATGAGGTGGCTCTCTCTACCGGGGTGGCTAGATTGCAGGGGAGGGAAGATTGGGGGGAAGGAGGAGGGGCTCTGGGGAGGTGCGGACTGAGAAGAGGAATTAGGTCAGGGATGTGGGTGGGTGGGTGAGAGGGGAGGGGGCATCTGCCGCAGAGCTTCCTCCTGGCTCCAGAAGCATCTCCACACTTCCCTTCCTCTGCCCCTCCCCACAGGTCCTGGGAGAATTCTCCCCGGTATTCCCCCCTCCCCCATGCCCCGCCCCCCGCCGTCGTCCGCCACGGTACGGGGGTGGGGGTGGGGGGTGGGGCGGGACGGCCGCCGTCGACGTCGTCTCGTAGGAGT